TACAAATGCAAATCTGCGATGTGTATGTGTGCACTATCCCTGAGTTGGGAAATTCAGCTGCGTTGCCACTGAAACTGAGATTCAATGAGATGTGAAAAATAATCTGATCTGGAATGTTTTATTAAGGGATAGACACAGTAGATTGTTGTTAGATGTATGTGTTGTTGTGTGTCTGTAGGAGCTGCAGCTGGACCAGCGATGTTACAAACAGGCAGAGAGGCTGAAGGCCCAGCGCGTGATGGAGGTCAGGAAGCAGCTAGCCTGGGAGCAGGAGCGCTGCAGCATAGCACTCAAAAAACTACAGGACTGGTACATGCAAGTTTTTATTCTACAACTATTTATATTATTCACAAATCCAAAAAATAGTAATTTGCCTTAAAAAGAGCCTTTTTGGTGTGAAACAAAGTGTTAGCTCCTCTCCTTCTAAGGTTAGCGTCCCTTTCAGCCAGCTTTGTTCTGATTCTGACTGCCTGCCCCTCAAACAGAAAGCTTGAACAGCTGGTGGGACAAAGCTGTGTTCCTGACTTGACCGCTGACCTGCACAGACTACATTACTTGAAACTTTGGCCAAGTGAAATATGAGCGTGCATCTTTAGAATAGTGTATGTAGCCAAATGACAAACACCTATGCTTGATGTCAGGTTCAGGGACTCTCTTGGTGGAAAAATGGTCACTGTGGTTGCCATCCAGACCAGCCACAGAGTCTCCACTTACCATTTACCGGAGCCTGCCGAGCTTTCAGCTCAGGTCAGGCATCGGAGCACAACCAGAGAGCCTGTTGGACACAGAGATGCTGCACTAGATTGTAGGAAAGTCAGAGCAGAGACTGCAAAAGGCAGCACCAAAATTGACGGTAAGAAAGTGATTGTGTCTTTGTTTTACACATCAAAGATATATCTTGACCTGCATTGTCACCTGTGTGCATTCAGAGGAGGAGGTGTTATGCCACCCAGTGATTCGTACAGCCAAGATCAAGCTGGGAGATCGTCAGGAAGAGAGACTTCGAAAGGCTGCAGAGAAAGCTGAGCAAGCTCGAGCCAAAATAGAAAAGAAGAAGCAGGAATGGGCACAAATGTGAGTGACTCTGCAGTGTCAGGTTAACCCACTAAGGAGTAGCTGGAGCTTAAATGATTACTATGATGCTGGTTCAAAAATGTATTTGGATTTTTGGTGTCTCAGTTACGCAGAGAAACCAAGTGAGGACTATGAAGATCCGAAGGACGTGGAAGCCATCCGTGAAGCCAAAGAGAACATCGGGGACTACATCGGGGTGAAACACCGGAGGGTGAACGCTGAGATGAAGAGAGAAGAACTGATTTCCTTGGAGGAAAATGTACAAACTCACACTAATACCCAGATGTTCACATCTGCTTTAAATATACTTTGTGCTATCTATTTCACACCTACGTGCAGGCATATAATTATGGTCCTTAAATGTCATTATTAAATTATCTGGATAATCGAATGACTCACTCCATCATCACTAGATGCATGAAAAGCAGAGTGAGCTGAACAGACGGATCGTGGCATTGCGGGACTCCAAACTTCGTCTGGTGTCTTGGTTGCGTGCTCAGGCTCAGCGGCTGCAGAAGGTCCAGCAGCGCCTGGCGGTTCATCTCCGCCGGCCTCCACCCATCCTGCCCAACATGTTAACAGAGGAAGTGCCAGAGGAGAAGCTGTGGTACAGCCACTCCACCTTGGAGCGATACCGGTCACTGAGGGAGCAGAGGTACAGAGGATGGCTGTTCTCTGAAAACCAAAACTTTAAATGGTTTCAGTTGGTTTGCTTGACATTGTTGCTACAATGACATGAAAAACATTAGAAAACAAAAACTGTAGATTTTTTATGTTTTGTTTTTAAAAAGGTTTAGGGATTTGGAGCAGGAGGGAGCAGCGAGTTTGTTGGAGCAGCTGGAGAAAGAAATGGAGGAGGATAAAAAGGAAGAAGAGCAGAGGAGAGATGTAGAAGAAACTCCCAGATTGTCTGTTTCATCTGTAACCAGAGAAGAAGAGGAGACACCAGTGGACGAAGGATCTGAACTGAGCGAGCTGGAGGAGGAGCTTCAGAAGGAGGAGGAGATCAGACTGCTGCATGAGCAGAACACTCTGCTGGAGGAGGTCATTGTCATTAATTTGATTTTTAACTGAATAACTAGTTGGAATGTCTTCTGGATAATAACTGATGTGGGGATGGATTTTATCCTCAGATGGAGACTGCGGTTTGTCAGTTTGACGCGGAGCTGCTGCTGCTGTGTCGACAGAAGCTGCATCTGGACTGGCGGCTGAAGCTGGCTGACCTCCGCCTGGTGACGCTCTTTCAGGAGATGCTGCTCCTCAAACAATTTCAGAGGAGAGAGGGAGGCTTACATGAGAAGCTCAACACCTGCATTACGGAGGAGAACAGCATCACAGTAGGTGGATTGAATTAGCCTGGAGTTGGTGTTTTTATTTAATAATACGCTTTAGTAATCTGCTTAAAAGGATATAGCAGCGTTCTTATGTTTTAGCTCACCTATGCGCATCCACATGCATCGTTATTTTGAATGGACAGTTTAGGGATAAAACAGAGTGGCTCATTTGGCGACGAGCAGAGGAGAGATGTTGGGCTTATTGAAAGGTAGATGTTAAAGATGGAGAAAGAGAAAGAGGAGGTTTTTAGTGTCAGAGGGCATGCAGGTGACTGTCATAACAGGAAGACGTGGAAGCAAGTGGTTTGTTTGTTTAGGGTCGGCACAATTGTCAGCTTTTAAAAAGCTTGTCACTTGCATTCATCAGTAGTTGTTGTACTCTTGATGCTTCTGGTGGCTTCATACATTGCTATTTTACAGTGACATTCCTTATTTTATTTGTTCTGCTGCTAAATGTGCTTTAAAATAACACTGACCTACTTTAAATTGATAAAAAAAAGACTTGAAAACAGACCTGAAGCATGAAGATTTTATCAGATATGTGACTCAAATTTACAATTCATTTTTTCCACACATAACTACAATAACTGTGTAGTGTTTGCTGCCAAACACTGGTGGCCTGGAAATCATTATTTGCCAAAAAACTGTGTAAGCACAACACTGGACCTGCAGTTATTGTAGTCCTCACACTTCCTTCCTCTGATCACTCACAGTCAAAGCTGGGAGAGTGCAATGAACAGCTGGAGATGAAGAGGAGAGACATAGCCAAGCTGCAGGAGAGGGAGAAGGCTCTGACCGCTGCCTTCCAGGCTTCGCTCGGGGAAAACAATAAGTATGAAGAGTTTCTGACCAAAGTCTTCAAGAAGAAGATCAAACGTGTGAAGAAGAAGGAGCAGACGGGAAATGAAGGTGAGGGAAAGTAACACAGTGTGTGTAACGATGTGTGCATCAGTACTTTATGATCACAGTGTGTGTTTGTAGAAGAAGAGGACAGTGATGGAGACAGTGATGGAGACTCTGAAGAAGACGATGACTGGGATGATGATTATGACAGTGAAGAAGGAGGAGCTGCTGTGAATGACAGTATTTGCCCTGAAGGTCAGTAAAGTGGTGAAAAACATTCATCTCCTTTAATTTTTTAACAGTGAAAACTTTTCTGTTGTTCCAGCAGGAGCACAGAAACGTTTCAGTACTTTGAAATGCACCATTAAAGACAAATTTCAGGTCATTTCATTTTTCAGCCTGAAAACAGGTCTCTTTAATTTGACTTTAAGCATAAGTCTGTGTTTGTGTGTCTCAGGCTGTGAACCTGAGCTGTTTGAGAACACACTGCAGCTGCGTGAACGTCGACTGGACCTGGAGGAACTGTTAACAGAGGAGAAAAAGAGCGCTGAAGCTCTGAAGAAGGAGAGCGACAGCCTCGCAAAAAAGGTCAAACTCATCGGTTTTCATCACTGTTGTGCTTTCTGTACCTTGCTCTTGTTATCACTCGTGTGTTTTGCACTCATGTTATTGTGCTTGTGTTTTTGCGTGGATTTGATCTGCTCTGCAGGAGAAATCGGTGAAGAGCAGCCGGGCTGCACTGGAAGACGACTTGGATTTAATCAACAGGGAGAAACTGCAGAAAATCAGTGAACTGGATGTTGTGGTTCCTCTGAGATTGCACCAGGTAAATGGGATGTCATGCTGGATATTCTCTGGTGACAAAACTGCTTCAAGCAAGTCACAACAACACATAACAGATGATTGTCTGCCTGCTGTCAAAAATACTTATAGTGAGAAAGTACAACCAGCTCAGTCTCTACAAAAACAGTTGATTAGTCCATTTCACCAAATATCCAAGCTTTTACAAAATCTATACAAATCCTGCCTTTTTTTTTTTAATTAAAAAATTAAATGTATGTTAATTAAAAATACACTTTAGAAATTATAAATTTTAAAAGAATATTGCAGGAAATAAAAGGTTTTTCTCAGAATGGGCATTTGAACCGTGGCGATCACACAATATCCACAAATTTTAATAGCCATTAAAAAAACATTCTGTGTACATGGTTTTTTTTGTCCTCGTAGAGATGTTTAAGTCTTTAAATAAAGTGAATAAAACAAAAATTCAAATGAAGAAACGAAGTAGAAGAACACTCTTTTGCATGCGTGATTTTATTGATCTTTATTGATCCAAAGCCAAACAGGATTAAAACAAAACATTTTCATGGATTTTACAGATTTTTATTATGAATATTGACCATAATAGACTTCCATGCAATACTTTGTGATGTTTTATTTAAAAGAAATGGTTACAGTGCAGTTTAGTCTATATTACAGAAGTTCTTGAACTTTTTCTTTTTGTTTTCTCCTTCCTTCCACTTTCACCCTGCGTCTTCCAGATTGAGTATGTTGTTAATGGCTCAGTGCCGTCAGATCTGAATGAGGCGTTGGTGCTGGACAAGAGTGAGCTGGACAGGCTGAAGGGGCGCATCCAGCAGCTGCAGGGGGAAAAGCTCAATCAGAAAGATCTGCACCGTCAAGCTCGCCAGCAGCACACCAAGCTCATCCACGACCGCAGAAACATGGCTGCCACGATCCAGAGTAAGAGTCTCTGACATTGAAGAGCTGAAGTGTAAAGATATACGAGAAGTTCACAGGTCACATGTAGACATTAGCTTTAAAAGAAAACACACATGCAGATGAAAACAAATCCAGATTTGTGTTGCATGATTTGCCACATGGCTTCAAGAAAACATTCCTGTGACTTTCTTCATGCGTAGATTTGATCATGTGTTTGTTAATCTGTGCTGTTGGGTGCCTGCTTGTATCTTGGTGCAGCATTGGACCAGCAATGCAACGAGTTGATGAGAACAAAGTTTGGGAGGCTCGTGGATTTGGAAGCTTTGCAGATGCTATCGGGGAACAGGAGGCTGGAGGAGCTGAAGCAGGAAAAACTCCTCAAAGAAGCCGCATACGCCAAGGAGATCAGACAGTGGGATGTATGCTTATCTGTGTGTGTGCGAGATGTCTACATCTGTGCTGTTTTGATCATTTGCAAAGTGAACATTTTAAAACCACTTCGGGTTACATTTTTTTAAAATCTTCTACTTGGGGTGTGTGTGTGTGTTCAGGCTAAGGTAGAAGAGGCACGTCAAGCTGTGATGGAGGTGACCACGTGTAATACGGAGCATCTCCGCAGTGCAACGAGTCTGAATGAACAGAAGAAGGAGCTACAGCTTAAACTCAGCACCAGCCAAAAGAAAATGGTAAACAATGTGCAAGGCTGATGAGCCTGGGATCCACGGTGTCACACACACATATGTAAACAAATAATGCAGTTTATTTTAATAGTGTCGTTTAACATAAATACTTTTAATATGTTAATATTTCATTTTTGTTCCGGATAAAAAGTGAATCCCGCTATAATTATGCAATTCTGCTTTTCTCATTCAGATCCAGAGACTTATACAAAATATACAAAATATTTGTTGCTATCATGTGTTACTTTGCCCATATACTCTATAATCTATATATGTGTGAATGTATCCAGGGCAGACAACAGTTCCAGGACTACAGGAGACGCACAGACCAGGAGGCTATCCAGAATCTCCAAGACTTGGTGATAAAGCAGTCTCAGCAAGCTGAAGCCCTCAGGAGAGAGATCCACCTCCTGTCGTGCAAAGGGGGCCACATGTTGCCCCCTGATCAGACCAGACTGCCACCACTTTCCCCCTTGCGCACCCCCATAGGCAGCATCAACACTGGAAAATAAAGAATGTCCACATAGCGCAGCTGAACAGAGTACGAAATATACATGTACCCATTTATATCATGAACACTTTGCACACCAATAAGGCTTAATAATCATGGAGTGTTGCTTTTCAGTGACCCTCATCACCTTTTCTCTTCTGCTCTTCTGCTATTAACACACCTAAAGAAACATTAAACGAATAAGCACCCAGTACAGGGACACTTATTTAATGAGATATGATTAGAAACATAAATGAAGTTATGAAATATGTAGTATTTCTGTATTTTGACCCCACAAATTACAACACCACAACCAAATGAATAGAATCAACTTTTTGGGACTTCCTTACCTGCATGTTTGAGCATGCATCGAAACTTCCCACAAATTACTGTAATTAGTCAAAGAAATGATCATAGAAGCATAGCAAACATCATCATGATTAGTGTAGCTTCTATCCACTCGCACCAGCTGTTAAATAACTCCAGTCTATTTGAGGTCAGACAGCTTAGCAGTGGATCCCATATCTAGTCCGAGTCCGGCACAGAGGGGCTGAGTGAATGTGGTCTGGACTCTGTGGAGGAGAGTCATGGTGCCAGAGACGCTGTAGAAGGACAGAATGCCTGCTCTGTGATCCAGGTACACTCCTACTCTGGACGGCCGGCAGACTGAAATGGGAGTCTTTCTTTTGTTATGTTTGAAAAAGCATCTTTGGTCAACACATTGCAAAGCCCAGGATTTGTCATTGTGTCCGAATTCACTTTCTTCTTGCTGCTTCCTGCTGATATCCTGGTATGTGACTGCCACTGTAACCCCTCCGCCGCTCCACTCCACCTCCCAGTAACAACGTCCAGTCAGAGTCTCTCTGCTCAGCACCTGAAACCTGTTAGTGAAAGCATGTGATCCTGGTTTGTTGGCATATAAATCCACTGCCAGTTGCACTGCCGCTAGCAAAGTGGGCATTCCTGTTACTTTCCTGTTCCCTTCGGACAATATCAATAATGAGTTTGCCGTGCTCTGATCCAGTGTGAGCTGACAGGAATACTGTAAGAATGTAGCTCTTGTTTTGGGATCTGGTTGTGGCAGTAAAACATCCACTTCACTCACTGTCTGTGAGATGTTGGTATAAACATCACTAAACATTTCCTGCATTTTATCCCTGGCTTTTGCCACAGCTGCTGTCACATCCTTAAAGTAGCGCAGAGGACGGATGTTGATGCTCGGTGAATCTGTCCATTCGCTGATGTGTGACAGTGAGGTGTAAGTGCAGAGAAACTGTGTGTGGTCCTCCGTATGGAAAAGCTGCTCCAGCTCAGTGTTTCTCCTCCTCAGCTCAGAGATCTCCTGCTGCAGCTTCTCCTGAAGCTCTTTAACCCGACTGACCTCAGTTTTTTGCTGAAGTCTGATCTGCTGGGTCACATCAGATCTTCTTTTCTCAATTGTTTTAATCAGTTCAGTGAAAATCGTCTCGCTGCACCTCACAGCTTTATCAGCAGAGTGATTAATGGCCTCCATCTCCTGCTGAAACACTCTCTTGGCTTCCTCTCTCTCCTGGAGTCTCTGCTGGAGTTTTTCATGACTTGCCCCGAGTGCTTTCTGCCTCTCTTTCCTTTCTGCTTCAGCGGAGACAGTGCAGTGACCTTTATGCTCATCCATGGAGCACAGATAACAAATGCACTGTTGATCAGTGCGGCAGAATATCTTCATCACCTCATTGTGGCGAGGGCAGATAATCCTCATCTGGGAGGGGTCCACCAGCTTGTGTTTTTTGAAGGCAGGAGATTCATAGTGAGGCTGGAGGTGCTGCTCACAGTAAGAGACCAGACACTGCAGACACGACTTGACAGCTTTCATTTTTTCCCCAATGCAAAAATCACAGGCCACATCTTCAGATCCAGCATCGGAGTGATCAGCAGGAGGAGCTTGGAGTCCGCTTTTCTTCAGCTCCTCCACTAACTCTGCCAACATGGTGTTTTTCACCAGAGCAGGTCTTGGTATGAAGGCTTGTCTGCACTGAGGGCAGCAGGGGATCTCCCTCAGATCACCTCTATCCCAGCAGCATTTGATGCAGTTCATGCAGTAGTTGTGTCCGCAGGGAATAGTCACAGGATCTTTCAGTAGATCCAAACAGATCGAACAGCAGAGTTTGTCCTGGTCGAGCTGAATTCCTTGCTGCGCCATTTTACCTCAGCGAGAGTTCGTGTGTGAGAGTTTCACTTCCTGCCACCCGATCCAAACCAAAACTCAGTTCCTTTTTCTTGCTTTGCTATCTTGTCAGTTGTCTGCACTCTGGCATATATTTGGAAGGATCAGAAAACAGGAAGTTATGTTGATCAAAGGGCAAACAGGAAGAAGGGGGAGGGTATTTTATGGTTCAGATAATTCCAGGAAGAGGAGTGGTTTCACGAAACAGGGTGTGTTTTTATGTCCTGAGTGTTAGAAATAGAAAAGAGTAAGTGTGATATAAAAATGCCTGCAGACAAAACAAAGCAGAACCAAACCAGTGAAACCAATCATCACTGGTTTGGCTGTAGTGTTGATCCATGGGTCTGTAGATCTGTTTTCATTGAACAGTTTGTGGCCTAAATTGATTCATGAAATACTAAACATGATGATGTACCAATTCAGTGTAATGTAAATCATGTTTGATATGTAATATGGGTATCGTGTTTTTTCCTCTTGTAATCAATGAAGCAGTTTATGGGAAAGTGCTCTGGTGCTCTTAACACATTTTTTATTTTATTTTATTTTTTTAAAGCTTATGTTTGTAATAAAAGAAGTAAAAATGATTTTTAAAAAAAATCAGTCACTTGGTACACTTGGTCTGCTGCTTGTTAGTGCAAATGTCTAATCAGCCATTCATATTGCAGCAACTTGATGCATTTAGTTAGGTAGATATAATCAAGACAGCCTGCTGAAGTTCAAACAGCATCAGAACGAGGAATGTGATGAAACCCCAAAAAGTTGATTCTGTTCATCTGGACGTAGCGTTTTCAGGTGGATAAACGTTTCAGCTCTCCCACTGAAAATGCAACGTCCAAATGAACAGAATCAACTTTTTGGGGTTTAATGACCTGGATGATTAAGCATGCATCAAGAATGTGATGAAAGTGACCTTGACCGTGGCGTGGTTATCGGTGCGAGACAGGCTGGTATTTCAGAAACTGGCAATCTATCAGGTCGATAAGCAGCAGAAGAACAAACCAGGTGCCATTCCTGTGAGCTAAAAATACAAACGTGAGGCTTCAGTTCACACTGATTCACCAAAACTGCACAATAGAAGATTGGTGAAGTGCTGCCGGATCTGAAGAGTCTCAGTTTCTGCAACATTCGGCGGGTAGGGTCAGACTTCGGTGTAAACAACATTTGGCCAGCAGATCTGTATGATCTTAGCAAAATCCCTGAGGAATGTTTCCAGCAGGCTGTTGAATCTATTTCATTCAACTGGGTACCAGGTGATTTTTTTTTTAGGCCCAAGCATCCCTCACTAATATGATGCTGAATCAACAAATGTGGAAGTGAAGTCAGAATCAAAATCAATCAGATGTCAGGTGGTCTTGAGATGTTTTCTTGAAGCAAATCCAACGAAGGATGTAAGGTGATCATAAAGATTGTGACTATCATAACTATAGAAATCTTTAAGAAGTTGTGTTCAAAGTTCAAGGTGTTCCTCTTCCAGGACTGTGAAACACTCACGCTGTTATTTAGTGCATATAAATCAGCTCATTATACTCCGTTCATACTCTGTTCAGTAAAATGCACAAGCTTACATGTTGTTCCATTAAATTTGCTGCTTTTTTGTTTCGTGAGTTTCGCCAACCTCATTTTCAGTAAGAATTTTTTAGTTTAGTTTTATTTAACTGTTTACAGTGGTATGCAAATGTTTGGGCACCCTTGATAATTTTCATGATTTTCCTTCATAAATCATTGGTTGTTTGGATCAGCAATTTCATTTAAATATATCATATATAGCAGATGAACACAATGATATTTGAGAAGTGAAATGAAGTTTATAGGATTTACAGAAAGTGTGCAATAGTTACTTAAACTAAATTAGGCAGGTGCATAAATTTAGGCACCCCAACAGAAAAATTACATCAATATTTAGTAGAAATACCAGCCTCCAAACACTTCCTATAGCTTCCAATGAGAGTCTGGATTGTGGTTGAAGGTATTTTGGACCATTTTGTTTTTACAAAACATGTCCAGTTCAGTCAGGTTTGATGGTTTCCGAGCATGGACAGCCCGTTTTGTCATCATCTGGGTGGGTACCTGCAGGTCTCCAACAGCGGCTCCTCCTCCTTTAGGTGGAGTTTGGTTGCTCCTCCCTGGCTGACCACCTGTGAGCAATTATTCCGGCAGTATATCAGACCTGCGCACTCAACCGTTCATCGCCTGAGTATCTGCTATCCCCATGTTAGTCAAGTGGAGCATTATTGCTCTGTCCAGAACCCGTGTGATGACTTGTTCTCAGAGGTAGCACCTGGAGTGGAGGTCTTGTCTCCCTCCTTTCCTTTCCTGGGCCGCTTGCTGCTGATACGACGTTGCCTGCCGGCCCACCACTCACTTGCCTGCCTCCCCACATCTCGACCGCTTCCGGGTCTTCCGCCCCACCTGTCCCCTCCACCTGAAACCAAGTAAGGCAACTCAGTTTAACTGTGGAGGATCGTTGATTGTCTGCTGGATCCCACTGACCGTGATCTCCTCTCATTCCAGTGCCCCGGCCCCTACATAGTCCTGCTTCCACCTCCCCGCTGCCTCTGCTGTTCAGCTGTCTCCTAGAGGTGTCTAGGTCACCCTTAGTTATCTTAGATTATCCTACACGCCACTAGTGTGGTGGCGTCGTTTTGTTTTTGCTTGTGTTTGCCTGTGGGTGAAAATAAATCCTTTGTTCTCTTACCGTCTCGCTTCCGGGTTGGTTTCTGCACCTGTGTCCATCTCTGTTCCCTCGTGCCGCTGGGCCGTGACACGCTTTAAGTAACACCTAAGATTTTCAATAATATTCAGCTCTGGGGACTGAGATGGCCATTCCAGAACGTTGTACTTGATCCTCTGCATGAATGTCTTAGTAGATTTTGAGCAGTGTTTTGGGTGGTTGTCTTGTTGAAATATCCAGCCCCGGTGCAACTTCAACTTTGTCTCTGATTCTTGAACATTGTTCTCAAGAATCTGTTGATACTGACTGGAATCCATGTGTCCCTCAACTTTAACAAGATTCCCAGTACCTGCACTTGTCACACAAACCCCACAACATGATGGAACCGCCACCATATTTTACTGTGGCTAGCTCTTGGAATGCTGTGTTCTGTTTCCGCCATGCATACCGCCTCTTGTTATGTCCAAATAACTCAATTTTAGTTTCATCAGTCCACAGCACCTTATTCCAAAATGAAGCTGGCTTGTCCAAATGTGCTTAATCATACCTCAAGCAACTCTGCTTGTGGCATGTGCGTGGAAAAGGCTTCTTCTGCATTACACTCCCATACAGCATCTCCTTGTGAAAAGTGCGCTGAATAGTTGAATGATGCACAGTGACGCCATCTGCAGCAAGATGATGTTGCAGGTCTTTGGAGCTGGTCTGTGGGTTGACTATGACTGTTCTCACCATCCTTCGCCTCTGCTTATCTAAGATTTTTCTTGACCTGTCACTTCCGGCCTTAACTAGAACTGTGCCTGTGTTCTTCCATTTCCTCACTATGTTCCTCAAAGTGGAAACTGACAGCTGAAATCTCTGAGATAGCTTTTTGTATCCTTCCCCTAAACCATGATGTTGAATAATATTTGTTTTCAGGTCATTTAAGAGTTGTTTTGAGGCTCCCATGTAGCCACTCCTGAGAGAAGATGCAAAGAGGGGAAAAACTTGCAATTGGCCACCTTAAATACCCTTTCTTATGTAGGTCAAGGGTCAATGAGCTTACCAAACAAATTTTATGTTCCAATAATTAGTGCTAAAGGTATTCAAATCAATAAAATGACAAGGGTGCCTAAATGTATGCACCTGCCTAATTTAGTTTAAGTAACTATTGCACACTTTCTGTAAATCCTATAAACGTCATTTCACTTCTCAAATATCATTGTGTTCCTCTGCTATATGATACATTTAGATGAAATTGCAGATCCAACCAACTGAAGATTTATGAAGGAAAATCATGAAAATTATCAAGGGCGCCCAAACTTTTGCATACCACTGTAAATGTGTGTTGGTTGCATTCTAGGATAATATTGGAGTATTTAAACTCAATACATATTCATTAATACAGTTAAATGCATGACATTTAAGCTTATTTTTCCAGAAATGGAACAGTTTACGTGAAAATATCTTCACTCAAAATTCTCTTCTTAAAACCATCTAGTTGCAGCTGCAGCAGCTCATCCTTGCCTTTTGATCATGGGGGCGTTAAAATATCCAAACTGACTGTTGTATTATTGGACTGCACAGCTGAGGTCTTTTGTGTTTTCTGACAGATGAAATTCCTCACTAGGTGTGGACTCTGTGCTGCCATATTTTTATACTCTGACACAAGAAAGAATGGTCTGATAGTAGAAATGTAGCTGGTTTCCTGGTGACATCTATGCAGTAATAGCAGCCTCGGTCCCACTCCCTGTGAAGCACTCCCAAGATCTTAAACTCCACATCTGAATTTGGGTTCTAATTTCCATTTGTTAGCCTCAAACGAGTTTGTAATCAGCATTGAAATACCTAATGATAATCTTATGGCTCTGACAGAGTGATAAATGCAAAGCCGTACTCACTGATCCATTTTAAAGAACATTGTTATTTTGAAATTGTCTACAAATTGTCAAGGACTGAGTTAAGGTTGTGTAAGGTGTCTAGTATTTGCATCTTATACTCTGTGTTGTCAACAGTGGGTAGAACCACATGGTGCTTTTCTCAAGAGTTGTGGCTTCGTGGCATGACTTGCAGGCTGAAAACTTCCTCACTATTCACAAAATCAACCAATTGCGTTCAGTCTCAGTGTTTTTCTACAGCTTCACTCTCACAGATCTTCTCATAAGTTAAGACATCAGGATGCTGTTACAAACGAGCCGCAATGCAGATATTGAAGCACGCATAAAGAAGATGTAGTTTCTGTGTAATTTGCTTTTAAAAAATCTTTTTTAATTTTAATGCGGTAGTACTATTTTTTTTTTTTTTATCATTCTGTTATCTGAGAGCGATAATGGCACGGCAAACAAGCAGACTGGATGAGAAAAAAATCTGCTGTTCGATCTGTTTGGATCTCCTGAAGGATCCGGTCACTGTTCCCTGTGGACACAGCTACTGTATGAAGTGTATTAAAAGCTACTGGGATGAAGAGGATCAGAAGAACATCCAGAGTTGCCCTCAGTGCAGACAGACCTTCATACCGAGGCCTGCTTTGAAGAAAAACACTGTCTTGGCAGAGTTAGTGGAGGAGCTGCAGAAGACTGAACTCCAAGCTTCACCTGCCGATCATGGCTATGCTGGACCTAAAGATGTGGCCTGTGATGTCTGCACTGGGAGGAAACTGAAAGCCATCAAGTCCTGTCTGCAGTGTCTGGTCTCTTACTGTGAGCAGCACCTCCAGCCTCACTATGAATCTACTGCCTTTGAGAAACACAAGCTGGTGGACACATCAAAGAGGCTTAAGAAAATCATCTGTTCTCAACACAGTGAGGTGATGAAGATATTTTGCCGCACTGATCAGCAGTGTATCTGTTATTTGTGCTCCATGGATGAACATAAAGGCCACGACACAGTTTCAGCTACAGCAGAAAGGAATAAAAAGCGGAGAGAACTTGGGGAGAGTCGAAAGAAAATCCAAGAGAGAATCCAGGACAAAGAAAAAGACATAAAGGTGCTTCAGGAGGAGGTGGAAGCCATCACTCAGTCTGCTGATAAAGCAGTGAGGGACAGTGAGAAGATCTTTAATGATGTAAAACAGCAGATCAGATCTCGTCAGAAAGCTGAAGTGTGTCGTGCAAGAGAGCTTCAGGACAGAATAGAGAATGAGATCACTGTGCTGAAGAGGAAAGATGCTGAGCTGGGGCAGCTCTTTCATACACAGGATCACACCCACTTTCTCCAGACGTACACCTCACTGTCACATGTGCATGAATCTGTTGGATCACTCGACATTAAAACATGTACTTTGCAGTACTTTGAGGATGTGATGACAGCTGTGTCAGAGTTCAAACGTAAACTACAGGAAATCCGTTTTGGCACCGCAGTCTCACAGTTAGAGGGGGAAGTGGATGCAGTAATGTCTCCACCTGAACCCAAAACCAGAGCTGAGTTCCTCGGACTATCTCAAGAACTAACGCTGGATTTTAACACAGCAAACACAAGTCTCTTATTTGAAGGGGACAAAAAAGTCAAATGTATGAGTAAAAAATTTTTATATAGTCATCACTCAGACAGATTCATCAACAGACATCAAGTCCTGAGCAGAGAGAGTCTGACTGGATGTTGTTACTGGGAGGTGGTGTGGAGTGGAGGAGCACTTTCAGTGGCAGTTTCATACAAGAATATCAGCAGAACAGGAGATGAAAGTCTGTTTGGGAACAATGACAGTTCTTGGGCACTGGAGTGTTTCAAAAATGGTTATGAACTGAGACATAACAAAATCAGAACTGTCATTTCAGGCCCTCAGTCACCCAGAATAGGAGTATACGTGGATCACAGAGCGGGTATGCTGTCGTTTTACAGTGTCTCAAAGACCATGTGTCTCCTGCACAGAGTCCAGACCACATTCACTCAGCCGCTCTACGCTGGATTTTGGCTTTATGTTGGATCGTGTGTTGAGCTGTGTGAGCTCAAATAGTCTAGAAAAAGAGGTCTCTCCTAAAGAGGTCAGACAAAATATATAGCATAGATTATAAGTGCAGTGACGTAGCATGGGTCTGTGTTACTTGCTATAAAAATTAACAAAAACAAATAAAAAAAAGTAATTAAAAATCTTTAACTGGAGGTGAGCAGACAGTGTGTCACAGCTTCCCCATTTAAGCAAAAACAAAACTTGCCTAAAATTGATTACCTCAGTAAGTGTGTGTGATATAGATGACTTCAGATGTTGAGGATGAACTCAATTGCACAAGTCACCTGGACTGTTAAGGACAGCATAAGTGCAGGCCAGTGGGAGAGTGGGGACAATTGGATCGTCCTGGGTCATTTGAAGCAGCGTTTTGAGCTTTCTTGTATTTTAGTGTAATTTTGTATTATGGTTTATGCAACTGTCCCTGAGACAGTTAAAATAAAGTTGGTTATTTCATGTTTCTGTGATAGATTCATGCTTAATTTAGTTCATTTATTTATAAGATAAGATGATAAAAGTGTAACATTAATTAAAAAACATGTCTAAAATATGTGATTACAAAATATGGGTTTGTTAAATATGTAAAGTGCTGTAAAGTTTGTATGAGGTAAAGTTTGTAATTGTCACATGACCAGAGTTTGGTTGAGAGCACAACCATGGCATTGTGGAGCTAGCATGGATACATGGCTACCGATGCATCTACGGCCTCAGCGTTAATGTTATTCTGCATGTGGTCCAAGAGGCGCACACGGTATGGTTTCATGTATATTGTTTGTATAATGTTGCATACGTTTTCTACACTGGTAATGAGAGGACATTTTTGTGATATCCATTATTGTGCATTTTTCTGTTCTGCTTGCACAAGACTGTTTATGGACACTGATATGAGAGGCTGATAAGCTCAAAACATTTATGTTGTAAACTTTGTGTTTCTTCAGTTTTCACGGTGTCTGAAGACAAGAGTGAGAGAGAGAGAGAGAAATAAATTTCCGAAGACATCAGTATGATGCGTGGCCATTCTTTGTTGGACCCCTGTAGTTACAGTTTATGTTTAGGTTCATTAGTTGGTCAGGAATTTCTTCTGCATTTTGAATTGTCTAGTTTCCCCCGTTTCCCCTCCCTGTGTCTTTGTCCTGTGTCCCTCTCTAGGGTGGCTGTAGCCCAGGAGGTAGAACAGGTCACCTACTGATCGGAAGGTTAGTGGTTCCATCCATGGCTCCTCTAGTCTGCATATCAAGTATCCTTGGGCAAGATACTAACCCCAAGTTGCTCTCCAATGCATTCATTGGAGTATGAAAGTAGTTAGGAAGCACTAAGTATAGAAAGAAAGAGAATGTGGCATGATGTATAGAGCGCTCTGAGTACTCCGGGAGAGTAGAAAAGCACTATATAAGAAACAGTCCATTTACTCTCTTTGGGTTTGTGTGTGTGCGTCTTGATTTCCTTTTCTGTTCCCATGTTCCCCCTCCTTGGGTTCATTCCAGTCCTCTCCTGTCTGTCATGTTTATCCATGTTTCTGCAACTCCCCTGTCTCTTGTCCCCTCTCACTCCTTTTCTCTCGTGTCCCCTCTCGCTCCCTCTCCCTACCTGTTCCCTTGTTGCTCTCCTTGTGTTTCATCTCGTCTCCCCGTTTGCATCCCTGTTTATCCCTGGTGTGGTGTCATGGTCTTAGGTCTGCGTCTCTGTGCTTCCTGTTTTATTTTGACAGTCAAGTGTCCTGTGTTCAGTGTGTTCAGTTTTGCTTCCTCCTGTTATGTCATTATGTTTATTCACCCCAGCTGTGCTACCCGTGTGTTTCCTATTCCCTCTTCATCCCTCTGTGTATTTATGAGGTCCCCGTGTTTGTTGTCCGTTCGTCTGTTAACCTTTTCTTGCATCTCCATGTTTCATGTACTCAGTTTTTCCAGTTCAGGTTTTATGTTAGTTTCTCCCCTGGTTATTTCCTTTGTTTGGCTTGTGTTTTTGTTCTTAGCCACAATAAAGGCTCATTTTTCATTAAAGTTCAGTTCTGCCTCGTTCGTCTGCATTAGGGTCCTCACACCACAACCTCCACGCGATCTTGACAATAATGATGCTACAGGAAGAAATAAGGCAACTGTGCATGATATGAGTTCACCCTTACAGAGTATTTTGCAGGGAAGAATGTTTAAAAAAGACAAACTGAAGCACTCATAGCAAGCAAAACTTGCTACTGACCATACAGTAAGTACCAATGCCAAGTCAATGGCTCTAGGGTTAGGATGATAGTTGGGACTTGGTTTACGCTCAGCCTATTTTGCAACAACGAGTTGAAAAATTAAAATTCCTATTTTAGATGTCTCTAAAAGAAAACCCAGTACTCTCCTAACCGTGGACTGGTCTTGTAGTCTCAGATTTTGGATGATGCCCCATCTGTTTCCTGTTGTCCATGAGTCCTCAGTGTCTATAAATTTTTCTGATTACTTAGCTGCTTTGATTCTTGATACTTACTTTTGGATCTTTGGCTCTTTCATACAGAGGCTTGCTTATTAACCCTTTAGAGCCGGTCGGAGCGGGCACGCTCTGTTTTGCGTAACTATTTTTAAATCCCGGTAGCTCTGCAACCACATAAGCTAGCGCAAAAAATTTTTTTTGCGTATGAAACCGGAGGAGTTGTACTTACGTCTTATGCCATCAGCTTGTCCTAGGTCACAGTTTCCTTCCACATAAAGCTTTGCAAAAGCTGCATAAAAAGCGCTTGCAGCAACAAAAACATAATATTCCAGAAACACGCTTTGCCGATCCGATCAGCTGATCATAACACTTCCTAAGTTGGAATAGACGTCAGCGCGAACTTTTGCATGTCCGCCATTACCTGCCCGAAACCGGAAGTTACGTCATTTTCGCGGAAATGTAGTTTTTTTTTCTTATAAGCCTATACTGGTGTTTTTAAAAGTTATCTTTGACTTTAGGACTTTCTGTGTCGTTTCTGGGATGCTTAGGACTCATATCGCACTGCTGGAAATAGTTTATTTTGATGCACATGCTGCTTTTTTGCAAATTTGCACTATAATATTTATTTTCATTTTTCCTGCAGTATATAAAAATTGGTGTATTCCAAAAATAAAACTATGAAGACACTCAAAATAAATTTCCTGTGGTGGGAAAATATTTTGCAACTTTTTTGTATTTAGAGTTTTGAGAGATAAGCCTCTTAAATTTCTCTAACTAGAAATATATGTTAAAAAAGCAAAAAACGATTTTCAATTATTTTGTAGTTTATTGCACTTTTTTGCAATTTATGTAATTACTATGCACTTAATGCAGACATATTATTAAAATATGGGCTATAACAGTTGTATTGATGTATAGCAACTTGAAATGCTCCCAAAAATGGCTCCACAGCAGGTAAAAATATAATATAAGCTCTGGCGGACTTGGTTCTATGGTAGGTCTTAAAGGGTTAATTTTTGGTTTGCTTGCATGTGCAATTAGTTTCTGTAAAAAAAGAAAAAAAAAAGAAGAAGCCTATTCCAGTTTGGCATGGCCTGATAAATTTCACAAAAATTAAAAAGTTAATGACAAAGGTAATGTAAAAAGCTCCCATAAAAGCATAATACTTCTTACATAAAAGATCAAAATACAGTGGAACCCCGGCTTACGAATACCCCATTTAATGAAAAATTCAAGTTATGAAGGCACTTAACAGCAATATTTCTGCCTGTGGTACGGCAAAATGCCCACATAACGAAATCCGCTGGCTGCGCCCAGAATGCCTTCCAAATCATGTGATAACCCCTTGGGTTTCGTACTTGCGTTTCGCTGTTCCACATGAAAGACTGTCAAGAGATGTATTCTAAAGACACTTCTTCAGCTGAGAGTCAGAGAGTAGAAACACACACACACGCTGCAGTTTTTACTTGCAAGGGCAGTCACAGAGCGCTTACACGAGAGTGGGGGCCCTGTGATGTGCGCTCTAATTTTGCTCTTGTCTTTATTTATAGACAAGGGTAATACAATAGTGAATATGTCTGTTCATAGACAGAGGAATGTTGGTGCGTGCGTGTGTGCGTGTGTGTGTGTGTGTGTGTGTGTGTGTGTGTGTGTGTGTGTGTGTGTGGATATAAGGGAAGCGGCCCATTCACACTGAAATGATCTGAAGCTAACTGTGTGCATTTAGCCACAGTTAGCTACAGAGAGGTGATCTGATATCTGGAGATTTTTATCCTCAAAATGTGTGTGATGTATGTTAAATGTTAAGTTTTGAACCTCCAAGCTTTTAAAATCCTACTGAAATTTAAAAAATAATTACTTTGTCTTAGAAGAGTGTAATTAACATAAAGTAATTTAAATAATGTTCTTACTATTTTAGAGAATTAAACTAGTTCACATAACTGTCTTTGAGAGGTGAAACGACGCAGCATGGAATTCGCATGGACCCTGTGGACACAGCTACTGTATGAATTGTATGAAAGGAGAAAGGACTGAAACGGCAAATAGAGGTCAACTCAAGTCGTGAAAAAACTCAGGAGAGAATCAAGAACAGAGAAGGAGATGTGATGGTGCTTCTGCAGGAGGTGGAGGCCATTAATCAGTCTGCTGATAAAGCTGTGAGGGACACTGGGAGGACACTTCAACAACTATTCCTTCTCATCAAGAAAAGCATTTCTGATATCCAGCAACAGATCAGATCCAAACAGAAAACTGAGATAGATGAATACTTTACATCTATCTCAAGCCCTCCATCTTACAGAATTGGAGTGTAACTGGATCACAGAGCAGGTATTCTGTCCTTCTACAGCATCTCTAAAACCATGACTCTCCTCCATTCACTCAGCCGCTCTATGTGTTCTGTGACCTTGGGAAATCAGAAGCTGCTATGGAATGAACTGGAATTCTTCTGCTTTCAGTTTTTAATTACTCACCATTGTTGCTTCTCTAGCGGTTTGCATGGGCTGACTTGTGATGATGCTATTTCTGTTTTCTGTCGATGCCATTTTCTTTATAATCCTTATACTTTCTTCTTAATCTTACCTTACTGGGGCAATAACCTAGTTTTACTTGAGTTTTATTTCACTATTCTAAATCTGGTTGGTTTATTCTAATGAATTGGTTCTAACATCATTATTATCATCACAGTCAGATATTGATTTTGCTTAGTTTTACATTTTCCTTGTGCAGTTTTCAGTTAATCTGTTTAACAAATAGATGCAATGTTGCTTTCACTGCATGGACCTGTGTGGATCTAAGTGTAAAACTAGGTGTCGCAGATAGTTGTTTATTTCATTTATTTTCATTTTTAACAATGCAAATGATTTCAAAAATATTACAATGATATAATGTTCATCAAATCATATGTTCACTAAATAAATGTATATTTCAATATATTTAACCATATTTTAAACATATTTAGTACATGAAAAGTCTGTTGTTCTTCCAGTGTTGTAAATAATTGAAAATTCTGAAAAACAAGCTTGCTGTAATTGCTGTAGCTCAATTATAACTAGCTTGTCTATACCATGTCAATAATTGGAAAAGTCACTTTTCTAATAACAAATGCGTTACCAAAATAACTATTTTTCAAACATATCTCTTGGGGACAGTGAAAGTGAAGGCGATGGGGCACTTCCTGTGGCCTAGCTGGAGGCCAGCAACAAAGCAGGAAACTGACAGTGCTGACAACAAGGAAGGAGACCCTCTATAGAGTGGCATCGTATCAGAATCAGAATCACAATACTTTAACCGTTATGAAAGTATGTGGTTACAGTTCAATTCTATTTTAATTTTTACAGCGCCAAATCACAGCAACAGTCGCCTCAAGGTGCTTTAAATAGTAAGGTAGACCCTACAATAATACATATGTTGCTCCAAGACAATAAGAACAGTAACAGACTGTACTAAATTAAATACAAACGATTACAAGTTACAAAATATAAGGAACAGCTCTAATATATACAGTCTATGCAACTGTGGCGTCTTTGGCAAAGGAACAAAGCATGACGTCTTGCAGTGCACTGGGACCCTCTGCAGACTCAGACTCATCATGAACAGTTTGCGCTGCGGTCCCATTCCTCCCCAAAAGTAACAGTTCTGTTGCAACAAGAACAAAAACTCTCCATCCACATATTTGAGAGAAAGCAATTAAAACAAACTAACACTCTACCCACACCACCTATTCACACAATCAAACTCTCACAAGGAATCTTTAAGGCTGCAGACCCTGAATTGGCAATTGGGGGTTTAATAAATTTGTCCATATTTCTAGCTGCTCCATCCAGAGTGGGATGGATGCCGTCTCTCCTAACAAGACCAGGATTTCCCACAGTATAATTCACACCCCCATTAGTGAATAAATATTTCTGCCATTTTACACCATCAAACTTAGATAGCTAGGGATGAAGAACATTTTGTTCTTTAAAGAACCATTTGTAATAGCTGAAGAGCCATCCAAAAAATATTTTTTGACGTATGATGTTTCTTTAAAGAACCATAAAGACATCTGAAGAACCATTTAAGAAGCATAATTTTTCTGAGAGTACTTGCCATGTGTCGTAGCTCTCTTGTCCAACTAGAGCCTAGTTTGACTCCACAGCCATCATGTTCGCAAAACTTAGGAAACCAATTCATACTACAACCAAAAGCTTAGAGTTCCTCGGTGAAACTCAGGAGAACAACATCCTCACACAGGATCAGGATCTATTTTATCTATACTTTGGACAAAGTTCTCCTTTTTGGATCTGCAAAGGCTCTGATGTGCTTTTCGATCACAAATCAGTTTCTCCTCCTCACCGTCATCTACTGGTTGTTCATGTTATAATTGCCACTCTCCTCTGCAATTATAAATAGTATCATTTGTCTACAAATTTGTTACTATAAGTACATTGCTGCATAACATTGTAGCCTTATTAACATTAAAGAAAACAAAAAAGAAATATCAATCAACTTAAAGCAAAGAATAACTTTACGAATATTGCTTTTTAGTCTGTAACAGAAAAGATTTAAAGTGCATGTAGTCACAGTGAAGCCAAGCTACATACACTGGTTATATGTCCTTGTCTTAGCTTTCGGGAGACTTTGGTTTGTCTCATTATCTCTGTCTCTCTCCGCCTTTCTTTTTGTTAACTGTTAAATATTTTTCCATTTATCTTGAGGGTTTGTTTACTGCTAGAGGTGGGCGGATCGATCCAAATAGTATCAATACCAACTCTGCTATTGGTATTTGATTGATACTAGCACAATTGAATCGATCCTTCAGGTTCAGTATGCAGCCCACTGAACTGTGTTAATTATTTCTTTGTAAAAAATAAACCTCAAACTTGCACTTTGAAAAATGTTTGAACCTTTATGTGTGCTTTAGAGACCAGAAAAATGTACATTCCAGGTCTCCAAAAACCCAGTTTCAAAACACATGAAAAGGTGAAAGGTGTGTTTTGTTGTGCTAACTAATTGTTGTGGAAAGTAACAATCACAGTGATATAGTTGTGTTGTGGTGGACCACTGGAAGGCTTCACTCACACCCAGTTCTCAGGAAGTGTTGTTGCTGTGTTTTGGAGGCAAAGTGTTCAGTTCTGTGGTGATGAGTAATAAACGAGCAGTGTTTATCGAGAGCTCTCGGGTCGTCTGTGTTTACCTCCACAGTGTTTAAATTGTGTTCAAATTTTGCAAATTGTGAATTCATCTCATAAGTCATGGCACACTACTTTCCTCCAATTAGCTGCCCGAATAACTTCTGCAATACTGGCCCTGCATTTACTTTGTATTAGATTGATACCAACATTTGTACTGTGAATGAGGGAAATTGTGAATGTTGAATTTTCTTGTTGAAATGTCCAGGCACGTATATACATGTTAAATGACAAGATATACATGTTCAAATAGCATCAACTAACAAAAAAACTTCAGTTTTTAATTTCTATATGATAATTCAACAATAGGAGCAAGTAGTCTGATGTCCTGTGATTATTATGAAGATATAATTTAAAATACAATAACACGTTATGTTTTTGTACAAAGTATCAGTATCGGATCAGTATCGGCGACACCACCCTGAATTTTGCTTGGTATTGGATCAGAAAGGAAATCAGTGGTATGGCACATCACTATTTACTGCACTTTCATTTCTCCTGCTCTGTGCTGTGCGTGCACATGCTTGGTGCAAAAATAAACCCTGCCACCTACTGTAGTGGATGTGCAATTACAGTTTATTCTAGTATGGCGATAAAAGCATCTTCCCATACCCCCTGACATCGGCCCCACTATTTGAGAAAGACTGCTCTAGAGAAAGACCGGGCAGCACGGTGGTTAACACTGTTGCCGCACAGCAAGAAGGTCCTGAGTTCAATTCCACCATCTCTGTGTGGAGTTTGCATGTTCTCCCCGTGTTTGCGTGGGTTCTCTCCGGGTACTCCGGCTTCCTCCCACCGTCCAAAGACATGCAACTTGTGGGGATAGGTTAATTGATTAATCCAAATTGTCACTAGGTGTGAATGTGCGAGTGAATGTGAGTGTGAATGGTTGTCTGTCCCTATGTGTTAGCCCTGCGACAGACTGGCGACCTGTCCAGGGTGTACCCCGCCTTTCGCCCTATGACAGCTGGGATAGGCTCCAGCGCCCCCCGCGACCCTGAAAAGGATAAGCGGAAGCGAATGGATGGATGGATGGATGCTCTAGAGTCTTTAGCTGACAGTACAGAGAGGCGTGAGGTGGTTATTGTGATTAGGAGCTATATAAATAATCTGAAACTGAATTTAAATAAACAGTCCAAAAACAAAACAAAATAAAAAGTTGCAGTAAAATATTTTCAATAATTTATCTTTTACTCAGTTGTCTTAATGAGTTTGGTAGTGATAGTGTTAATTTGTCAAAAACAAGTTTAATAAATAAATTAATCAAATTATGATGTGCCTTTAGAGTTCTATTCCATGGAATAAAGTCCTCTATGTTTTACACTGTATTAGTTCGAGTTTAATATGTGCATACATCTACAGTGTTTTTATTCTTCTAAGAACATAATTACTCAGATGGATAAATACATTCTACTACAAATTTTATGATTTTTTAATCATTTATTGTGTTGTGCTTTGCAAAGACAATAAGAATCATTTCAGTTTTTCATGTGAAGCAGTAATTGAGAAACTAAGCAGCTTTAATGTGAAGGAAAAGAAATGCTAATATTGCCGTGGTAACCAGAATGTTACTACTGTTCTATGCTCTAATGACATCATGCTCCTTCATGATGTCATTTGAGTTTAACACACATGATGTCAC